ACCTCAGCATTTGTTGGAATGGCCTTCACTATCCAGTTCGTTAGAGAATTTACCAGATTAGGCCTGAATAGATCTGTCGGTGGGGTGTTAGCCCTGGCCTTCTCAAGAGAACTGAGTCCTGTTGTTACATCAATTGTGGTTGCAGGGCGAATTGGAAGTGCATTTGCTGCAGAGTTGGGAACCATGCAGGTTTCTGAGCAAACTGACACGTTGAGAGTTCTTGGGGCAAACCCTGTGGATTACCTGGTCACACCAAGGGTACTTGCTTCCTGTATAGCGCTACCATTCTTGACTCTAATGTGCTTCACTATAGGGATGGCATCTAGCGCCCTCCTGGCTGATAGTGTTTATGGGATAAGCATTAATATTATTTTGGATTCAGCTCAAAGAGCTCTTAAATCATGGGATATTATTAGTGCCATGATCAAGTCACAGGTTTTCGGTGCCATCATATCTATTGTGAGCTGTGCCTGGGGAGTTACTACCATGGGAGGCGCAAAAGGGGTTGGAGAATCAACAACATCAGCTGTCGTCATCTCTCTTGTTGGTATTTTTATTGCTGATTTTGCACTATCTTATTGTTTCTTCCAGGGAGCTGGAGATTCTTTAAAGAACTGTGTATGATCAATTACTCTTTATGCTTTATAGAAGATCGGTTTTCTTTCGATTAGTCAGTCTATGATATTTATTTGCTTCCATTTTGGTTGCCAGGGCATCAATTATTTTTAAGAAAAAGAAAGGGGAAAACGTAATATCTTATGTTGCGGATCTTGATAATTCTTTATCCCATTAGACAAAATTGCTAAGAAAATAAAAGCCTAATAGTATAATCCAATCATGCGTTCATGAAATTTCCTCTTTATGTTACTGTGGATGAAAAAAGAATTTTAGGTGATAGGGAGAGGAGCTTTCTTAGCTTGTTTGTGGCTGTTGTGGCTAGAGTTCAACGCTTGACTTTATTAAGGATAGGTTTTTGGCTTTGTCTTTTTTTATGGGATCAATTGGTTTTCCTTGCTTTTTGTTGGGTTCAAGGTTTGAGTTTTTGGAGATGTATTTTTGGCTAGAGTGAAATGCAATGCTATCTCAATTTTATGTCGTTATTACTTCTTTTCTTTCTTTGTTTTTCCTTTTTTTGGGTTAAATAGGATGATTTTTTATTTATCCTTTTGTGCATCTTTTTTATGGTACGTGTCCTGCTTTTTCTCCTAGGAAGATAGTGTCAATATAAGCATTTTTTAAAGAAAAAATTGTAAGTCATATTCAAAGAGTATCAAGAGAGTGTAACTCATAGACAAATATATTTCCTACTACCAAAACATCAATGATGTCTCAATATCCTCCATCAATATTTGGAACCATGTGTTTTTAAATCTGTCAAAATTAAATGCGATACTCTTAAAAACTTCCAAATTTACGTAAATAGTAGTATAGAAATAAGTTTTAACAAAGTGTTTATCCTTTTGAATACCGTATTACGCTCAAAGCTCATCCTTCATTGTGCCCGCAATGATCCAACTTAGTCTCAATAAACTGTAAGGCAGACACCAAATGCAATACATAGATGAACATTAGAGGAGGATATGATTACGCGTCTCTGCTTCTTTCCTATATATTTTGTAAAATTTGGTCCCGAAATTTAGTACAGGATTAATTTTAAAATTAAAAAAAATGTAAAATTTTGAAAAAAATTAGGTAGAGCATAAAATTAAATATAATTTTAGGAAAAAATTGTGAAAATTTAGATTCGGAAGGTATTTTTGAAAAAAAAATTGAAAATTGAATGTGAAAACGTAAATAAAGAAAATTATGTCACGTAGGATTGCCCATCAGACGAACCGGAGCGAGCCGCGTGGCAAGGTACGCTGACTCGGTGCCACGCAGGAGGCCATGCTAGCGATCTACATACCCGCAATCGGATGGCCCGGATACGTTCTCGCGCACGTAGACGGTCAGGATCTGTTTTCTTATTAGGCGACATCGAACGGTCGTGATTAAACACAATGAATAGTCCAAATTTATTTTCTCTTTAAACATGATCATACAGTCGAGATTAAATTGCGATAAACGGTTCAGATTCATTACTTTTTTAAATGTGATCGAACGGTCGAGATCAAATGCGATGAACGGTCCAGATTTAAGAAAGACGGGTTTAAATATCTCATTTCACACTGAATCCAAACCCTATCCGCCAGTCCCCCTATGGAGAAGAAGAATCAGTCGCCAGAAAATGGAGCCGACCACCGCCCGGCGCCGCGCCGGAGCCACCTTCGACAGCCATAAAATGTAAAAATTCTCCTATTCGCTCGGAATTTAATTTTGAATACCTTCATGACCAAATCAGAACAAAAAGAATAATGGATGAGCTAAAAACCATGGGTAAAGCCCGGCACCGTCGTCGCGGGAAAAACTAAAAATTACCTCCGATGAGCTCCTTTCTATTTTCCATTCATGCGATTTTTTCACCATTGTGTTCGCCATTTTACTCCTACAGGGTGACCGACAAAAAACGCACAGTCGAAGGTAAGCCAGCGGAGCCGCTACACTGAAAAATCCCGCCGCAGATAAATTTTTGTTTTTCAATTTTTTTCGACCAACCGAGACCTTTCAACGTATTTTTTCATAGGGATGGGTATAAAACTAGCTAAAACTGTTCAAAAACAGCCAGTTCGAGGCAAACCGCCACCTCGAGCAACGGTACCATCGCTGGAGCACGGCGATGCTGCCGTGCCAGAATTTTGAAATTGGCTGAAAAAAAAATTTTAGCACCAATTTTGGATTTGTTAGGGTATTTCTAGGTACGTGACGCATCTTTTAATCTCCGTAATAAAATTCAGAAAACTCAGAGATCGCTAGTAGGCGCAGTAGAAAGTCCAGTATTTCGGACACCGATTCGGGTAAGAATCTTTCACCTTATTCCTTATTATGGAAATGAAGTATAATTATAAATAATACGGTATTTTACAAAATTTAGAAAATTTCGATAATTAATTATAAATTACTTATGGAGCCGGAACAGGTTATTTATTGCTATTCATCTTGTTTTAACTAATTGTTTGATTTTATAGTTTTAAATGCATGGTAATATACTGGAATTTGTAAGATGATTCAGTTGTGATTTCTTGATGCATGTATTGTTTATCTTGCGTGATTTATAGTTAAATTATGAAACTAAAAATTAAATGTAAACATAAAATTGATTGGTTAAGCAAATGAATGAATGATAGTCTTACTGGATATCTTGGGAGATGGTGGATAGACTGGGTATATAGGGAACCCTGTCGTGAACGTCGCCTCATACCGGACGAGGTATTGAAATTGGTATTTTTGACGCTTATACCGAATGGGATATGAGGATGACCCATTTCACCCTCATACTGGACGGGGTATTGAGAATTGATATTTTGGTGCTCATACCAGACGAAATATGGGGACAGCCCGTTTCACCCTCATACTGGACGGGATATTGAGGGATAGTATTTTGACACTCATACCAGACGAGATATGGGGGACAACCGATTAGTTGACAATGTTAAATGTTGGTTTATGCATAGTGGGACATCCCTATGGACCCCATAGATACCAGTAGACAAACAAAAAAGGAAAATTGTTATTTTTGCTTATTTAAAAATGAGATTATGATGTTGTTGAGCTATTGTCTCTACAGATCAATTTTTGAAATCTCGCAAACGGTAAGTATGTAATAAACAGTTTTATTTATAATAAATGAATTTACTTAAATTAAGAGTTTCATTAGTTGTTTTTATGATTTTTATCAGACTTTATTTCTGTATCGGTGAGTAGTGTGATATTCTTACTAGGCTAGTGTAGCTCACCCTTTCATTAACCATTTCAGATCAAGATGATCCAGATCAAGATCTCGATCAACAAGGGGGTTGTGAATAGTTCACCACCCGGACTCCCTTCAAAGGTTAGTAAAGGTAGTTTTAGGATATCTAATTGTTTATTTTTCATTTATTCTTATAGAATGGTCATTTCTATAGCTTTATTGGGTATTCTAAATTATTGTGTAAGGAATGTAAACCCTAACTCTATTATTTAGCTTCTGCATTCAATTTATAATTTATTCTTTTTTAAGTTCTGGGTCGTTTTAGTTGGTATCAGAGTTAGATTCTTCGGAACCATTCCTTACACAAAAGCTTTAGGAAACACACAAAAAATAAATTAGCACTCAATAATTCCTTGTGAAATGCATATACAGATAGATGAGGAGAGGAAAATCCCCACTAAACCGAGCAGCCTAGGAGGGTTCGCTTCGAGAGGATGTTGACCGACTATTTGAAATGTTGGAGAGACTCATCGCTACCCAACAAGCCGAGGAGGAAAGGAGGGAGCTACCTGACTCTCATCCACTGCCACAGGTTGAGCCACCCCTGCAGCATAAGGATTCTGAGACACCCTGGTACGATCCTGCTCCTCTATAGTACTATTCGGCACCACCACAGTATGGTTCGATACCCCAACCACATCACCCGACACTACCATAGTATAGTCCGGTGCCCTAACCACATCACTCGACACCATCATAGTACAATCCAGTGCCTCCACCGTATCATCCAGTACCACTATAGGGCCATCCAATCCATCCCTAGTACAATTCAATCCCTCTTCCATGGGACCCAGTTCCTCCCATGATGGATCCACGCTACATTGAGAGGTATAAAAAACTAAATTCATCTACTTTTATAGGAGCATCCTCTTTTGAAGAGGTCGAGTACTTATTAGCTAAGACAGAGAAGGTCTTCATGACTCTAGAGATTATTCCCGAACAGAGAGTCATATTTGCCACTTACATACTTGTGGGAGAGGCAGGCCGTTAGTGGCAACTCAAGCAGGCCACTCTGCCCGTTCCAGTCACTTGGAAACAGTTCTTGATGGCCTTCAATGTAGAGTACCTCCCAGAGCATCTCCGACATCTGAAGGAAATGAAGTTTGTATATATGGTTCATGGTGATATGACTATATCAGAATATACACGAAAGTTCCTAGAGTTGGACCGGTATCCCCCTGAGAGCATGATGGATGAAGGCAGAAAGGTAAGAAAGTTCGAGTAAGGTCTCCGTCCTGAGATTAGATAGTAGTTGTATGTGTTCGAGGTTAATACTTGCTCGGCCGTTTTAGCCAAGGCACAACTAGTGGAGAGGAACTTTCGTATTTTTCCTTCAAAAGTAGGGAGCCTCAGGCACTCGGTTTCACACCGTAGATCAACACCCACTACACCTATTCAGCATAATAAAAGATCTAGGTCAGTGACTCAGGTTCCTCCTCAGATTCCGACAATAGGACGCGGTAGGACTTGCCAGTACTGCGGCAAGGATCATGGAGATCGACCCTGCTATCATCTCAATAATACTTGTCGTATATGTGGGAGTATCCAGTATTACGGGAGAGAGTGCCCGATGAATCAGAACCAGACTAGACCTCCTATCCAGGACAGGGCTTACAACCTCACTCAGTAAGATGTAGAAGCCAACCTAGATGTGATATAGGGTACGTACACTGTCTGTAATCATCTTGCACATATTTCGATTGATATTAATGCTTCACATTCATTTGTTTCACATTGGTTTACACTAAACTTGAATGTATTACTTGAAAGACTCGATTTTGTGTTATTTGTGTCTACTCTTGGGAGTAGAACACTATTGGGGG